GATGCTTTCAGGATCTATGGCAACCAGCGTCGTTAGTTACGCACTGCAACCTTCACAGAAAATGTTACTCTATAACAGGGATAGGGAATTACACAAACTAAAATCTGATTTAACTGTACATTTCAACATTATTAAGAGGATATGAACCCACCGGCGCACACGCATTAAAGTTAAATAAAAATAATTACTGGAACACGCAATACTCCAAAATAAATGAAATGAGCGTTCAAGGTAAGGAGGAAAAGAAACAACAAATAAATCCGCAGTCCCTAGTTGTCGAATTGTTTCAGTCAGTCAGCTTTTAGAGGAGAATAATCATGGTCCCCTACATAATCTCCATAGTTTTCAATCCGTCTTGTGCATATGTCCAGAAGCTTTCGAAATCCCTTATTAAACTACACTTAACATTAATAACCTCTTTATAACCCCTTGACCTCTTTGTAACCTCTTGAACCCCTTGAGGCTCTAAAAGGAATGTTTTGGACAGTAAATAATATGGGGCCGGTATTCGGAAGAGTGCCCACACTTCTTCATTAGAGGTGAATCTTTGTCATCGAAGGGCTGTTTTTAAAACGCCAAGCAGATATAAGTCCGGTGGAGCCAGATCAGGACTACCAGGATGATTAATCTGAGGAGTGACGACAGTGTGGGCAACTGCCAACTTTGTTGTTGTTTTGTTTCAATAATAATAGATAATTTTAATGCCAGAAATATGTTGATGTGAATTTTCATAGTTTTTTTCAGTACGGTTCCAGAGCATATAGTTTCGATCTTGTCTTGCAGACAACGATTAGGGTTTTAAAACCACCATCGAACGAGTAATTAACACTTGAACTATCGGTTGCCAATGGCGGGATGGGGGTGAGGGGGGAGGGTGTTGTTTTACTGACTGGCTTAAGATATTCCTTTTTCAGATCAAAATAATAATCGAATTCCTGTTTTCATTTGAAAATCTCACAGAAATATCCCGTTTCGTTTTCAGCTCCAGATATTTTAGTCATCGTTGAAAGAATTCCATATAGCAGAACAGAAATATAAGGGGTTAACATTACAAAAAATATCTACATGAATAATAAAGAAATGTCTACTAAATAAGAGTAACCAATAAACATACAGGGAGTTATCTGGCCGTAAAAGTTAAGCCCAAGCGGTGTATCTAGAGTTCGCTGGTATTTCATGAAGAATATTGCTTCACATCTCAAATAATTTCTCATGGTGAAAATAATAACAATAATTCTCAAAGGCTTAATCGCATAAAATTAATATATGTGAGATAAGATTATTGAAGAAATCTAAATGTAAACATCTGATAACGAGTGGGAAATGATATAATCAGAACTGTGGAAAACGGCACATTGCAGCACAGTAAGTGAGACGCAGAATATTCAATTGTCCAGTCATGTCATTAACATAAGCCTTTATTTTTATTTTTTTCCAGTTCACCCCCTCCAGACATTTATTCTGTAGGATTAACATCTGAAGGATGAGAATCAATCAGATACAATTTCTGTCAAACCCTGTGCAACCGTATAACACAGTTATATTAGGGTACGACACAAGGGTTATGAAGTAGTTGAGAAAATGCAACCACAACTACCATCAACCCCTGTGCTACACTGAGAGAGGAATTAAATAAATCTTTGAAATAGATATCGGACGTGAAATCCAGAGAGCGCCCAACGAGAATATGGATGGACAAGATCATAAAATTCCTACATCCGCATGGAATTGTAGCAACTAGTAGTAACCATATAGCGGTAGGCGTAAACCTGTCCCTCCCCTTTTCTAAGCGCTTGGCAACAAAAAGGAAAGTAGATTTTTGTTATCCTTATGTCCTGTGCGTTTTGCTGAGCCCCATTTGGGGCGGTGTATAGATACACTGCATCTTAACAAGCGTGTCGTAAAAGGCGACTTTTTAAGGGTGATGATGGGTGTGTTTATGCAAAAGACCCCGGGGATTGCAGTAGAGCTGTAAACTACAAAACGATGTCTCGTTCACTTGACCTTTTACCCTACCATAACATCACACAGAGCGATAAACACCCGGTGACTAAAGATGCCACTATTCGGATGAAAATCACCCGCGGAGAGGTACCAGAAACCCTGTTTAACACACATATTGGGTTATAATTAGGGCCCCCAGCAACAACCGAAGTCGGGCTTCTAAATAAAAAAATATTGCGTCTAGCATAGGGACGTCTTTTTAAAGTTGACTGGCTGGCTAAGTCTTTACCCCACTAGGACATAGCACAAAGTGCCACCATGCGGATGATGATTATCCATAGAGAGGTCCCAGAAACCCCTTTCAGACGGTAGGCTATATCTATGGCTAGGCCAAATATATGCCCGAGCTATATTCAGGACCCCCGGTAGAAGCCAGGGAGGGGCTTCAAATAACGAAAAATGTAATCTCATATTGGGACGACAATGATTCATGTAGTAATATAGATGACGCCTCAAACACTGATTTTTCAGAAGAAATTATGATGATAATAATAAAAGTAATAATAACAACAACAACGACAATAAATTTAGGATTTAAGCAACTGGCAAGCGAAACACACAAGAATATAACACATTTTAGTTTATTCATTTGAATTTGCATTCAATAAAACACTTCAATTTTCGCCTTGATCTTGTTATTTGTTTATATGTCGAATTAAAGTTGTGTCCCCTGAATCGTAATGAACCTAAGAAGATTACAAGACTGGAAGAGGCCAGACAGAAAGAACATTCTAGAGAAAGCAGACTCCAGAACTTCAACACTGTCCATGTGGGTTCAGAGTTCCATTTTAGCGTAAAAAGGAATGAAGTGACTTTCCCTTAACAAGACAAAATAATGACTGGCTGAAATTGGATGTTTTGGCCGAAAGGTGCAAATATGGCAGCTTAGCCGTAAACCCTATCGCGACTACCGCACTTTTGGCGGGGAACTAAGAAGAACTAGCAGAAGAAGAAGAAGAAGAAAAAGAAGAAGAAGAAAAAGAAGAAGAAGAAAAAGAAGAAGAAGAAGAAGAAGAAGAAGAAGAAGAAGAAGAAGAAGAAGAAGAAGAAGAAGAAGAAGAAGAAGAAGAAGAAGAAGAAGAAGAAGAAGAAGAAGAAGAAGGAGAAGGAGAAGAAGAAGAAGAAGAAGAAGAAGAAGAAGAAGAAGAAGAAGAAGAAGAAGAAGAAGAAGAAGAAGAAGAAGAAGAAGAAGGAGGAGGAGGAGGAGGAGAAAAAATGAAGAAGAAAATGAAAAGGAAGAAAAAGAAGAAGAAGAAGAAGTTTGATGCTGTAGAGCCTAGCATATGATACCGCAACTTCATGTTTAAGAATGGAGGTGGAGATTGTCACTGAAGCTTTACGCTGATTAGAGACTCTAGTAGAGACACTACACACACACACACACACACACACACACACACACACACACACACACACACATGCACGCACGCACACATATATACACACACGCACGCACACACACACACACACACACACACACACACACACACACACACACACACACACACACACACACATAGTGATTGTAACTGACTCCAGAAGCATGCTGGGGAAGATAAGGACAGGCATGCTTCCTGCAGATTGGCATGCGTCGCTTCGGAGGTGAAGGGTGAAGAGCATTATCTGGATCTTTTCTCCATGTCATGCCGGTGTTGGTAAATTAACAAGCGGACTGACTGACTAGCTCTGCACAACTTTGTGCAATGCTGATACATGATAGGGCAGACGTGGTTAAGGCCTTATGGAAGTACGTATTTAATTTTGAACTGCAAACTGATCCTCACTCTCTGGGTAAAGTGATGCATCGAAGAGTGACGAGGAGATCTGGCCGATACTCAGCGCTCAGAGAATGGGCAAGAATGACGTAAAATCAGAATGCTACTGGCAATATTGGCCTTGGAACTCTACGTTGTCTGTTGATGATGAGGACGCAGTGCTTCTGGACATGCCGCAAATGCTGTGATGTTAATTCTTAAATCAAATCAAATTTTAAAAATCAATTTTTTTTTATATGTAGCCCCTGTGTTGGTAGTTGTTCTGGCTACATTCTTACTAAATGACTGCATCTGCTTCTCAGTAGATTTGCTGTCGGTCTGGGTAGTAAGATCGGACCCCAGTGTGTATTGTTGCAAACGTAAAAAATTCCTTCGCAGTTGTAAATCGAAAAAGAGTAGCGTAACGGCGATGCCTGGGCAAAATTTAAAGTAAAAAATTTACCAAAAGTATTTCAGGATCTTCGCCGGTGCTACAGAGCCTGTGCACGGTAGACTAGTCCAACCAACTTATCAATGGAGTTGCCTACAAGCGGTGGTGTGCAAATGGGGAGACCATTGTATAAATAACCCTGAGCTTCTTCGGACTCAGACTTGAGTAAGAAGAACGGAGCACTTATGGGTTACTACCCGTGTGCAATGATGTTGATCCATTATTCAAAACCTCAAAACCAGAAAACTTCATTTCTAACTTTGTCTCGGATGGTTAATTAAGTTTGCGACTTTTCTCGGGCATCCTAAAATGGGTACCAGAATGGATGTCCCGGGGAAGTAAAGACGGCTGGCGTAGTGCTGACCACATTACCCACCTAGTGCCGATGGTCTGTAAAAATATCCGTTCTCTTCCCACATGCCCGGTGCACTTGAGGCGTAAAAAGAAATCTTTACTTTTACTTACTTACTTACTTTTCTCAAGCATGCCATTTCACAGATGTTAATTTTATACTTTTCTGTAGTGAATTTAAAAACTATTAAAGTAAAATGTTTTAAAGCAACCTTATTGTGCCAATGGTCCATAAGGCAAATGAAAGGTTTTTAAAAAAATCAACGCCTTTATGGGTATTGGGTATAAAGGACTAAATCTATATTTCTCAGACTAGTCGACACTTTGTGGGTCTTTCTTTACTTCCCAGAATATAACTTGGTGCCCATTTAACTTTGGGTCAGGTTTTAAACAGAATCGCTTCCAATTAATTTACAAGGGGTTTTTAAATGAAAAGCTTA